TCTAAACTCCAACGGAGTAAAATGACCTTTGAGCAACTCATTACTTCTTAAAAAACCTAGAGCTCTAACACGATTTGATTCGGAGTCTGGAGTATGATCTCTAGTAAGAGCACGTTGTTCCTCTCCCAAAACTAATACGGCCCTGTTTAATCATATAGAAACAATTACATAAATATTTAATCTATCACACAATATACTACCCGAAAAAACACTTACTAAGAATAATACTGTTAGTTATAATTTCCCACAGGCGTTTTTTAATAATATATAACACTTAATAATTATATTATTCAATTGGGAATTATAACTAACTGTTACTGTTGATATTTTGCTGAGTGTATGTATATATACATAAATTATAATATACACACACATATATAAATTATAACATACATACCTCGAATCACCAGCTCCTGCTGCATAAAGTCTTCCATTAAGAAATAAAATTGTAATAGCGGTACAACCACCACCACCATTTTGAGCTTGCATCTCCACCATTTGATCCATTTGTCTATATGCTAATTCTATAGCACCTGTCACTAGATCTCTACCCTTTATCAGTTCATTTTCATCTTCATTTAATAGCATGTTGCCTGGTATAGCCAGTAACCTTTCCTATTTTTAAATATTAATATGAATATTTTACACAATATACATATCAAATTATTTTGACAATATTTTTTTCAAAGATAGCACACACAAGGATTATCCTATGTAGATGTAATCTTGCTGTAAGAGCCACTTGATACCCTGCATGTCCATCAAACATTGAAAACATGACATAAGGCAGTGTAACATTAACGTCTGATAATTTCAAATCTCCACGTGTTGCTGAAGCTTGATCCTCATTCCAAGTACTCTTCCCAGCGTTTATACATTCTGCATAGCCAGCACACCACGGCAAACGGCTAAGATCTCTTGGAACTATTATAGGTCTTACTCTGTGATCTGCACTCACCTATTTAATACAATCATTCAGTATATACAGAGATATTCATACAAATATTATAATCATATTATGAGAGAGAGTTAAAAAATACATAAATCAATTTGTTATATAATTCATATAAGGATTCGGAAATACCTGTGTTTCCTCAGCTGTCAAGCCTAGAAAACTTGGACGGCTGTAAGGCTTATTTTCTACTTCTACTACATAATTAGAATTAATATAGTCTGTCATCATATCATTGTCTGAATCATTAGGGTACTGTAGGCCAAGCTCGCTTGCGCCTACAGCACTCATTAATACTGACTTAAAGCGGTTCAACATTTTTGTTGCTTGAATTACACAGGTGCTAGGCAAAGATATGACTGATACTAAACTTGATAAATAGTATTATAAATACTCAATCAGCATAGTATCAAAGTTTTGTAAATATTTGTGTCTGCACCGAGATAACGATATGTGATATATAATAATTCTCAAAACTGATTAATTTTTAACTCGAAACTTGATTATCTGTCAAATGCCTGTCAAAAGACAAATGCTTCCATTATAAAATCCATTAAGGTAAATTCTATTTTATCATGAAACATTTTCATTTCTTTAATACGGTAGTACTTACTGTGAGCGAGCATTCAGCAATTATACTTAATTAATATCATTTTGTTGACAAATAGTTGTCAACGGTACAGGTTATATTGCATTATGTCGCATTGAAATGTGACAGTGTTGGCACGTTCATTTAGTGACATCTATACGATACTTTTAGTAAATCTTTATCGGATTGCGACGATGTCGTTGTCGAATGCACCAAGTGATGGCGTATCCCGTTTAAATCGCTGTCATACCTGTCACGATTCGTTGTAAACAGTTGTAAACAAAACAGGCAGGAATTGTTAGTAACGCGAGTTATAATTGTTACAAGAAATAAGCTATACTGTTTACGTTGTATCTAATAAATAAAGTAAGTATTACATGTAATTGTAAATGGTGACAAGTAAAATTTCTATTAGTGTTGTTTTTATAATAATAAAAATAACCTAGAAATAGAATTATTATTGACTCAATCTTTTATTAAATTTACTTTTAATTGTATTTTTTATAGAATTTTCTATGTATTCTTCTTTTTAGTTTCTTTTTTACGTGTAGATTTATCTTTTAATATAGAAAATGTAAGATAATATAACAGGATTGTGAAGTGTCTATTAACCTATACATTTTTCAGATAAAAATATTAGAAGAGGGAATTGTTTTTACAAGTTAATGTAATTTATTTTAATGCTCATTGATATTTATTCAGATTGAAGCAATTATTTCATAAACGACATAAAGATGTCTAAAAGTAAAAATAGCATAGCCAATAATAAGGTATTTATCATTATATATTTGTAGAAACATTTTGCTTTTAATTACGAAAATTTTATAGAAATGTTTTTAGTGTACACATTATTTTAAAGATAATTATATTATTAGGAATATAGCAGTGCATCTTCTTACACATCTTCATCATTATCATCAGACGAAGAAGAGATTGATGCAAGAGATTTAAAACCAATTAGAGAATATTTGTCTGATCGTAAAGTACTAGCTCGACAACTTTTTAAATCTGTTAAACCAGAAAAGATTCGTCTCATGTTACCACAAGTTCTTAAAGTGAGTTATGAAATATTTAATCTAATAATAGTTATACAAAAATATTTTTTTTAAATACAAGTAGTGTATATATTATTTTCTATTTATATAGCATATGGATTTAAGTGAACTTGAAGAATGGTGTGAAAGTGAGTTAAATGGTATGTCTAAAGCTCGAATATTATCTATATTAAATAGCAAACCTATGTTAGAGTCCTCAGATACAAGTGAAGATTCTGATGATTCAGGTATATAAATACTAGGTATTTTTAATATAGAATGTAAGTTTTATGGAATAATCTGCTCATTTATAATTTCCTCTTAATAGGCCCTTCCTTAGAAATCATTTCTGATACAGAGGAATGGTTAACCGATGATGATTTGTCTAAAAAGGAGAATGGTACGAAAGGAAAATTAAAGAAAGATAAAACAAAAATTAAAGGGAAAGCGCCAGTTAATAAGAAAAATAATGTAAATAAGCCTAATGTTAAAACAAAATCTAACATTAAAAGCGAAAGTAATGATAAAATTGAAAAGGTTAAAATTAAAAGGGAAGATGATAAAGATAAAGGAAAAGAAGGAGATAGTTTGTTAGATTTATTAGAGCTAGAAATGCGAGCCCGCGCAATAAGAGCTTTGATACGAAAAGAGGAAGATATAATTCCTTCTAACTCATCACAAACAAATGACACTCAAGCAACAGAAAATAACATTAGCATAGATGACAAAGCGAAAGAGAATTGTCGCAAGCAATTAGAAAGAATTATTAGTTCTCAACAAAGTATTAAAGGCGAAGATGAAGATGTTGTTTTAGTAATTCCTAACCCTGCTCCAGTTGTTGAGTTATTATCTAGTGATAGTGATAGGGAAGACATACGAATAAATAAAGAATTGCAAAACGATATGTCGAAAGCTGGAAAATCCGTGAATAATTTAGATGAAAATTCTATCAAAACCAGTTCACAAGATTTGAAGGAAAGAAAAGAAAATGAAGGAATAATAGAGATACATAGCACAAATGTTGTAACTAAAACACATCTAATTAACACAAGTGAAGTAATAATGCCCGAAAGAAATGTAGATTTAAAAAATAATATATTATCAATATCGATTTCTGCGGATAATGTTGCTGAGAGACGGAAAAAGTCGAAGAAAAAGTCACGTGGAAAATTACAACTTGCTTCTATTATTACAAATTCTTCAGAGTCAACACAAATTAACGTTCCTGAGATTAATGAGGAATCAAGTGATAAAAGTATTAAATCGAAATTAAATCCTTCTGACGAAAATGAAATTATCATTGAAAAAGGAGATGAGATAAAACAGAAAGTAACAGAAGAAAGCAAAGTTGAAGAAGAGAGATCGACAGATATAGACGATATTGATTTAGATGATTACTGTGAAGTCATGGAAATAGATAATAGTGATGAAGATAAAAGTCAAGATAAAATTGTCTCTTCTCAGCAAGAAAATGAGCAGTTTGTATCCGAAACTACTTTGTCAAAATCGAATTCAGCAGAAACTTGGGCTTCGCGTTATTATCAGACTGACGACGTTCAAAATGTAATAAAAGAATCGAAAATACAGTCTGAGATTCGAAAACGTTTGCGGGAACGTCAAAGATTATCCAAGCTGAATAAATCACCAAACTTATCTGCACAGCCATCGACAATTGATGCAACTGTTACATTTGAGACAGCTCCAACAGGATCAGTGGAGGAATATTTAGCTTTGAAGCGTGCAATGAGTACAAATAATAGTGACAGTGATAATACTATCATGGAAGTACAATGTACTAGTAACACTAATAATGATACCATGCAAGATAATCCTGTAGTTACTAATTCTAATAGTGATATTGAAATAAAAGAAATTTTAGAGCAAGATGAAAATAATTCTTCCCAAGAATGTACAGATAATGACGTACAAAAAGCTGCAATTTCCGAAGCTGTTATTGCCAAACCGGCAGAAATAGTCGCTGATACAAATAACGATGCACAGTCTAATTGAATCCATTCAATTTTCTTCAATATTAACATATAAAACAAATGCGCATTTTTAAACAGATATTTTTCAAAAATTATACAGAAATATTATGTTTTTTGTTGTATGTATATTGCTGTATAAAATGATATTTGAGAGAATAATAGAATTTTCAGATATATTTTTGGTTTATTACATAATTACTTTGATACATATTACAATAAAAATTATTATTTAAGAAGTGTTGATATTTTATAAATATTTTAACAATGATTTATATTAAATAAAAAGCGATAGTACACAATTAAGTATATAATATATTTAAATTTATATATTATAGTGGAATTTTTTAAAACCTATACTTGTCACATCATTAAAGATGAAAAGATTGTTAATTTATACAGTTTGCGTGATTATAATTGTAAGATTTATTTATTATAAATTACAAATGAAATTTAATTTGCTCTTTAATAAAATTACGGATTATAACTTCGATTATGTCGTACAATTCAGTATTTATTGATGAAGTAATTTGACTGGTTATGATATTCATTAAATCATGAATTAGACCAGTCATTTTTATAGTGATTAAACCACGTTTTATTTGAAAGTGCTCCAAACTTGCGTCGTATGTTTTATTATAATCATCATAATCAACATTCAGTTTCGCCGCTATTCCTAATCCATTAATAGCTGCGAATATGTTGCCACTGAATGTGATGAAGCCAATTGTAAGCTGTATATTAAGACAAATATTAATATTAAAAAAAAGTTAAATGTTTTTATGCTTAATATTTTTTAATCATTAATATCTAATAATTTATAAACCTAACCTCATAATGACACTTTAATTGAAGTGTAGAAAGTCCAAAGCTAGCTTGTATACTTCGTGTCTGTTCTGTGTTGAATATAGTTGCATTTCCTATTCTTTTCAGACTTGAAAGATCTCTGAAAAATTAATTATTCTGCTGAAGTAGATAATTTAATATTGTAAAAATATTATACAAAAAATATACATTAATTTTTTCTCGATTATGTTATATAATGATTATAGTAGTGCTGACCTCAAGATTCCATTACTTATTTTTAAACAACCTCCTAATATCTCTAAATCAGGAATGACAATTATAGATTTTCCGTTCTTCCTAATGTAGTTTTTCGCTTTTTTGAGAAGATAGTCCACGGGCACGTTTATGTTATAAACCTGCACATAAAATTTTAGATTACTAGGACTGAAATATAATTTACAAATAAGAAAGTTAATAAGATTACGTCAATTCTTAGATTATTAGGACGAATAATATGGTGTTTGTTATATCTATATTTGTCACATTTGATATTTTGAAATTGCTCTTCATTTATCGTTCTTACTTTATAAAGCTGTTGATTCTTCGCATGAGATTGAACATGTTGAATAATAGCTTTTTTCGCAGACTTTGACTTGGTCCTAAAAGAAAATATGTTTAATAAAAAAAAATTTATTACAAAATTAAAAATGCCTAAAAGAATAGGATTTTATGAAATCTAATTATTACTAGATAATGTATATTGTTTAATTTATTGTTTATTAGATTCATACGTCTCAGTGCTCTATGCACAAGTTTATGTATCGATCAATAATTGAAATCTCAAATCATATTTTTAGCCGTTTTTAATTTTACAATAAATTTTTCTTTATTTTGATTCTTTTTTTTAACCTAACGTATAAATCTTATTCCATAAAAATATCTTAGTATTTTATTACTGTAATAAAATTTAATAAAGGGTTTCATGCCTTACCTGTCTTCAGTATTCATTGTTAAAAATAAACAACAATCTTTGATTGGACTGTATTCTCTTGCTTAGTTTCTGTAACGATAGAAAGGCGAAGATAATAATTATTGGACGAACTATAATTATTTTACAAAACGAATAGTCGCGTTTAATTTTCTTCCGGTTGTTATTTAAACAATTATAGAGCGTTAAATTTACTTGGAATATATCAATTTTTTAAAATGATACTACTAGCCAAGAAAATTTTTCAGATGAAAAATACACACTATTGGGTCACCGGATTTTTAGATGACATATAAAGAAATGTAATCCTGGTTGTAATTACTGACTTGGATATTGCAGGATAAATAACAGCAGAGTAATAAATTGATTGACATGAAAATATATATTAAATTAATTATAACTTTATCGGTTATCTTTATTTATTGTATCGAACGTTTTGGCTCATTTTAGAGTCATCTTCAGCGAAAAAGTAGAAATATGATACATCGTTGATAGTAAGTCACTCACAGATTGATGGAAATGCACTAATCAATACGCTCAACGAGAAATAAAGAACTTCACAAACATTGATTCACAATTTTCATAAGATATAAATTAAAACAAATCGTTCCTTAAATTAATATCTTGTCAGTCTATCTTGGCGTACTGTTCGAAATTGAACGTTACAAAGTGATAAGGGGATGACTGGCTTGCTAGAAGTCCCCTTATCAGTTAAGATGCCCCTTATTTGCGAAAATATTTTTATTTCGATAAAAAATAATCATCACCTGAATATTATCTGCTTCTCCTAATTCTTCGCTCTTACATCAGCATTAGACTTTCATTAGCCTTGTTCTGAATTTCTAATTATTGTTTTGGATCAATTTAATTAGAAATTTACATATATGTCAACAGAATTAATTTCTACTTTGTCATCAACTTTTTATTGGAAACTTCAATCTTTATCATAATTAGGTAAATAGTTGCTTATTAATATTCCATATTAAGGTAATAACACAGTTTATCTGATAATATGATTAATAATAAATAAAAAGAAGATCACATTAAATTTTTTTAATAATTTTAATATTTGCAGAAATTTAAATTGATGATTTTGCGTATAGTTCTTACTCAATTTAACATTTGAATCGATTCCTACTGGATTAATTATTATTTTCTGAATTTTGTGAAGATTTGATCGAAGACAATATTCACTAAGTCCATTTCGGAGTAAGAGAAAATTCCGATGTATGGGTTCTACCTGATTAATAATAATTCGGCACTATAAACAACATGTTTGTTTTAGGTTATTTGTACCGTGGAACTATCCGGCTGATTGCATATTGAAATACAAACATTTGGGTCATGATAACAATTTTTACAGTTAATCGTGTGGAACCGTTCATATTGACGTCACGTAAAAAGAATCTTTAAGTGACAGTATACATTAGATATATCTAAGGTCGTTTCATATATAATTTTGATCACTTGTCCTAACTATCCCGTGGTAAGGTAAGATAATTAGAATGGCCCTCGCCTTCCAGCTGTTTGTCACGTTGCGAAAGGTTGAAAGGAAATATTATTTTTACGTTATTGCATTTAAAAAACGAAATTATCATGATGTTGCAAATCTAACTTGAGAATTTACGTCTCACAACGAAGTTTTATTCCCAAGCGAATGCAAATCATCTTTTTCCAGTTTGCATCAGAATCTGTATGTATTATTAGATTTTTAATTAAATGTTTTTTTTTTTATTATTTCTAATAAGAGATCTGCTTCTTATATTATAAATAACTTTTAACTTTATATTGTTTCACATTTACGGTTTTTATTATTTTTCAGAGAAGCATTTACGAAAGAATATATTGCATAATGTCGTTGCATTGTAAAAAAAAGTATGTAAATTGTATGTTATATTAATAATATGTGTAAAAATTACACAATTTAAATATTATTTATAGTGGAAATATACATAAAATAGTGCGATTTTATAAAAATATATATTTTTATCTCTAATTGTATAAATATATATTAATGTTAGACGGAAAATTATACAATAATAGAATATTTTATAGTTTTTATGCACGGAGAAAAATAATTTGCTGGGTAGAGTAGATTTTATGCTACTATACTGTAGTAAAATTTATCAATTACTATGTGGACAGTAAAGAGATTTGTTAAAAGTACTGATTGCTATTTGCTGGATATAATTTAGTTAAAACTACTAAATTATTTTGCTGTAAGAATAAATGAATTTTTGTTTAATCAATCTAATCTTTTTTGTTGCATTACCAATACAATTTGCAACAAAAGCAAAGCATATTTGAAGAATTAGCAAGATGATTTTGTTCTACAAACAATTTATTTGAGCTACACGAGCGAATTAAATTTGCTATTGTAGCAAGATATGTTTACTAAATTAATGACATATTTTGATTGTATAAACGAAATAATTTAGCTAAAAGAACATACACGAAATCTGTTGGATAATTGGGGAATGTCTGAAGAAATTATTTCAAAATTAATATATCTTTTTAATACATCTCTCGATTAGACAATACACATGATCGAGAATTTAAAAAATATATTAACTCTTACAATACAAGATACAATTTGCTTCATATATCCATACAAACTGGGTCACTAAAACCTGTTCGTTTTTTTTACCTATTCAGAACAGTTAAAAAAAATCTCTAAAAATTCACCAATATACTTTCAACTTTCTAGAATAAATTTGGAACTTCATTTTGAAAAATAATAAAATGTAGCCTAATTTATAATTATCGAAAGACTCTTGCACAAACAGGAATCGCTCAGTCACTAGTGACTTGACCTTGTACGGTAAGAGTTAATTTTGAAATAATTTCTTCAGGCATTCCTCAATTGTCCAGCAGATTTCGTATCATTATGAATACACGTTGACGTTGAATAAAGTAACAGAAGTATATAACGTGAATAATAGAAAAAATAAAAATAAATACGATAAAATATTGAGAGATCACTCGCGATAATACGTTTATGAACGCAGCGACCTTATAATAACAAAAGACTCCAGAAAAGAGACGAGAGACTCTTTAAGAACACAGGATACAAGGCGTATCTTAACAAATCAAGTTTTGCTGTAACACAAATCGATTACAATAACAAAATTCTTTTGCTGTCATAATAGATTTGAATGAATAATAGTAACTTTGTACCACTAATAAAAAACAATTTGCTAAGAACACATTATTTTATTTTAACAGCAAATTAACTTTGGTTCTAAAGACAAATACACACAACAAATTTTTTTCTATTTTAGCAACAAAGATTCTCTAATAACAAATAATTTCTAAAACTGGTTATATCAACTAAATTTTATCGCTGCCGTTACGAATATACAGTAGCAATTGTAGATTTACTACAACAGTAAAATTATTTTTCTCCGTGTGGATTTTAAAATTGTCTGCTATAATTATTGTAATTTTACATGTAATTTTTTTAGGCATTACAAGAGATTTATATTATTAAAGTTTATCAAATATTTGCAGTGGATCAAATAATAAATTGACTGAATTAATATATTTAATGCAATGAAAAATGTACAATACAAAACATTAATATTTAATTATTTATAATATTTAATTACTTACGTCTTATTAATTGTCGTGTGTGGATTCTGATGTCGGCAACGGATACTGGCAGTACAGATACTGGTAATACGGATACTCGTTTAATTGGAAATGGATATAAAAATACTTCTTCGCAATATTATTAAACTGATATAATATTGATAATATTTATAGTGGGGTATTGATAATAATATTGATATCAAACACATAAATTAGACAATTATTAAGAGAATTTATTGATTCCAATCTAATCTCGTACTTATTTTTATTTATACTAAGGTCCATTACACAAAATTAACTTTAATTTTGGTTTAACTTATTGTTTATTTTTTTCTAATTCTCAGAATTAGAAAAGATAAAGAGTAAATTGATCCAAGATTGTTAATCTTACATTAGTGGAACCGGACCTAAGTAGTATAGCAAATTTCTTAATTTCTACTGTATAATTTCATAGTGTCCATTCGTTTGTCTGCAAACTTTGTCGAAAAAAGGGCTTAATTTTTTCAAATTCCGTTTTTGTAATAGATACCAGAGGACTGTAAACGTTACAGTTTTACAAAGTCAAAATATGAATCAAATCAATTAAACCGTAAAGTGATTAAAGGTCAATGCCAATAAGATTTTCAATAATACAGAGCAAATCAAACGGCTTAACTTTTTCAAATTTTGATTTTTTGCTGCACTATTTTGTTATATGTGTTGCAATTGTTTATTTTCTTGTTTTCATTGTCCATCTTTGATATTGATAAACCGATATTAGAAAAAAGGGGAAGATCATTTCATTGCACAGCTGTGTAATTTCTATTATCTATTCTCAATGGTGATTCCCCGATGCCACCGAGAAAAAGGGGAAGATCCTATTGCAATCTATATAATATTATCGTTATACATCGATTGTTCGCGTGTTTTTAAAACATTATTAACTATCACTTGAATTGATACTGATCAATATATATGATTGTGTAAAAGATAAGACCGAATATTAGATTATGGATAGATGATGATTTATTGCACCGCCGAATCTTATAATTTGATTAGTAAAATAGTCGTTTCATACATTGAAATTTGAACATGATTATAACGTAATAAAACATGCTTTCCCTTTCTTTGTTGATCTTTGAAAGTAATTGTACTTTGAAAGAAATTTATTACAAACACAATTTGTTGTAGGAACACATATGTATTCTTTTAATTTGCTTGTCCCATAATTTCTATCAGGTGCGCATAAGGAGTGACATCTTTTAATTAAACCTTTTGAACAAGTTTAAGCGATCTTTCTCGTAGTTTCGCGACTCGGGAGGTTGCGGAAACGTACATATTAATCTGCATATCATCGCGCGCATCGCGATGTAATTTTAAACCGCGCTATTCTCCCCAAGTGCAACATTACACGGCAAAGTGGCTAACGTTACGGGAAACCGAGTCGTGACGGCGCAATTTCCTTCGCGTTTATATCCTAGACGAGGAACAAAAAGCCTTGCGAGAAAATCGCGTTCACGTGAGGTGGCCGGCAGAAATAGTCCGCGCGAAAGTCGATGCACTTTTACGCTGCACCGGTAGTGATGTATAAGCGATCATGTACACGATCGAGGAAATGCAGAGTCAGTTGTAATGCGTAATCGTTACGGCACTGCGAACAGCGTGCTGTACAGTGTATAATATTACGACAACATCGTGTGTATATCCTCCGGATCTTCTCTAGAATTTCAAAGCTTTTTTACGATGACATAAGTGAGGCAGAAAATGAGAAATCGACATAATGAGATGAAGAATATCATCAATACATTTTGCTGTATAAGATAATGAACTTGTGCAGCGTTTATATTACAATTTTTCTTTATTAAATTCTTTCCTTTTATTCTCGAATTAATTATATAGTTCATGTAACAAATAAAAAGGAACAGATTTTTTAAATATCTTTAGTTCTGTTTATTTATTGTTACTTATTATCTTATTACTTTATTTTTTTCTTTTTTCTAGTAATTAATTATTAAACGCGAATTGTCACATTTACGTTTATATTTATATTTTTACATACAAGAGC